GGTTGGTCGGCACCAAACTTTGGACACAAACGTAGTGTTATCAGTGAGCTGCTGTATCAGATCCACTACACGAACGGATACCATGAAATTAATTCCCTTGTAATATTGGAATGTGACCAGCATTCCCAATAGGTGATCCATTGAGCCACAGAATGGTAACAGGCAGAAAGAGGCTATTCAGCCCATTGTACCTGTCTGGGTCTATGCAAGAGCCGTTCAGCTAGACCCACTTTCTCTTTGGTCTTGGTATTTTTTTTACTTCGGATATTTGCCCAATTTCCTTTTAAAAGCCTTGATTGAAGCTGCATCCATTAGCATGTCAGGTGTTGCATCCCAAACCTGATCCACTTGTTGACTTCTTGCATAAAATAGCGTTTCCTCATTGGCAAAACAGCTAAAGTTGACAAGCACTTTATGTCAGTGCTCTCTGTTTCCAGTTACTCTGCCATCTGAATGCTGCCAATGTCTCTTTTATGCTGAGATAGTAGGAACTGCAGATGCTGGAGAATCTGAGATAACAAGGTGTAGAGCTGGATGAACACAGCAGGCCAAGCAGCATCAGAGGAGCAGGAAGGCTAACGCTTCGGGCCTAGACCCTTCTTCAGAAATGGGGGAGGGGAAGGGGGTTCTGAAATAAATAGGGAGAGAGGGGGAGGCGGATAAAAGATGGATAAAGCTTCAAGCTCCAAAATCTCCCCTCTCCCAACCGTATCCCAAAACCAGCACAGCTTGGCCCCGCCTCCCTAACCTGTCCTATCCCCTCCTCCCACCTCAAGCCACACCCCCATCTCCTACCTACTAGTCTCATCCCGTCCTCTTGACCTGTCCGTCCTCTCTGGACTGACCTATCCCCTCCCTAACTCCCCACGTACACTCATCTTTACTGGCTCCATCCCCACCTCTTTGACCTGTCTGTCTCCTCTCCACCTATCCTCTCGTCTATCCATCTTCTATCCGCCTCCCCCTCTCTCCCTATTTATTTCAGAACCCCCTTCCCCTCCCCCATTTCTGAGGAAGGGTCTAGGCCCGAAGTGTCAGCTTTCCTGCTCCTCCGATGCTGCTTGGCCTGCTGTATTCATCCAGCTCTACACCTTGTTATCTCTTTTATGCTGTGGGATTTAACTTTACAGATTAATCTGTTATGTATCAAATGTGTTTTGAAACTCCATATACAATGTACCAACTGCATTACCAACATCAACCCTCTTTGTTATTCCATCAAATTGCTTAACCAAATTATTTAAAAATGTTTTGCCTTTAATGGGTTCATGCTGGTTTTCCTTAAATGAAGCATGTTTGTTCAAGTTACTATTAATTTTGTATTGAAGCATTGTTTCCAAAACGTCCCCATTATTGATCCTACAGAGCATGTTGCTTCTGGGCTTCTCCTTCTCTTGAACAAGGGTTTAACATTTGCAAAGCTCCTTTTGCAAATCTCTTGCTATGACTTTGATAGCACCTCTACCTTGCTAAAGGCAGGTGCCAAGCACTCACTTAGCACCTCTGTGTCTTTGGAATAAACATTTTAATCACTTTTAAATTCCAGCATTCTTTTTAAGGTTTGCCTGAAGAAACTTTGGTTTAAATACAAACCTTCCACTTAGTTTTCATCTCACAAAACTTTGGAGAATTAAAAGGGCCATAAGACTTTCTGGGAGCTAAAACATTTAAGACATTGTCATTAATTTGGCTAGAGTTCTGTGTTCAACTGTCTAGTCACAGGTTCTTACTGCAAACAAATATCAAAATTTAGCTTTCAAAGAGAGGCTGTGATGTATATTCAAGCTAGAAATTAATGGATGTCTATTCACTAATGACATCAAGGAATATGATAATAGCACAGGGAGACGTTAGTAAAATAGATTAACAGCCATGATCTAAAATGGCAAAGCAGGCACAAGAAGTTCAGAGTCTACTCCTGTTCCAGTGTTCCTATTTTTCAATAAGGAATATTAATATTCATCTTAAATTCATTTTTAAGGTACACTGGTAATATTTAAGACAATGTTTAAAAAATGCACATTTTCATTTTACATTATTTTTGATTGTCGACTAATTTGGGAAAAGAACTATTTTACAATAAAGGACTGAGAAAGGACTTGCTGTATTTTTCGTAATAAGTTACTGAAATGCATTGGAAGTTGGGTTTACATTGTTGCTTTGAAAGCAGTGGGAGAAGGTAAAAGAGAAGATGGCACAGCACTGAGGCATGATAACAAATTGAGATTTGGCCAGCAACAGGTTGTTGATTGGTTTGTGGAATTATGACAAATTGTGGATATTAAAGGTCATCTGCCTGATGACAGTTCTTTGATTGGCTCCTAGGTAGTTGAATAGTTCGTGCACATGAACAATACAGTGATAAGCCCTCAGATCTCCAGAAGGGGAATGGCATCTCTCTCTCTCTCTCTCTCTCTCTCTGTCTCGCTCCTCCCCAATCCCGCTCCCCCCACCCCCAGACAATACCTAAATCTAATAAAAACCCAGTAGTTTTCTCTAAATTGTTGTTGAAAGCAGTTTTTAAACAAAAATTCAAGAGGCTGTATAATTTATGAACTAGTTGCTCTGTGCTTCTTGTGGAAAGTGAAAGAACCCAAAGGAGAAGCTTGCAAACCTAAAGGACTTGGAAACAAAAGGAACTCCTCTATCTGTTTCTAAGAAGTTGGGCCATTGAACTGTTTCCCTACTACTTTTGTCTCTCCATCCCTAAGATAAATGTTCTTTTGTTTGTCTATGCCTATCTATATATAAGGGTAAGTGGGTTTAGGAGGGGATTAGAGCTCTAGCTAGTAGAGTTGTGTGACAGCAGTTTGTGGTGGTTTATCTGTGGTTAAAATCTATAAATCAATATAGTTTTTGTTACATATCGAAACACATTTTCTGTTAACCTGAGTCTTATCAGACTGGTGAATTGGGGAATTTGTATACTTTGTATACTTTCTTTTACCTTTTGTAATAACTTCAAGAATATTGGGACTTGATTTCCAGCACATTATCCCATTGAGGTATAACAAAGATTGGGACTCTTGTCTGGCATATATTGAAACGGAGACAATGATGATTTGATTGTGGTATTAATGAGTGATACAGGTGAACTTCTAAAACTTGGACTGATCAAATTGACAGGTAAACTTGAGGTGGCATTACCTGACAGATCTAGGAAAGCAGAAATAATTTGAGGGACAAAGGGACTAACTCAGTTTAATAGAAAAGCAAGGGAGACCAGTGGTCTAAATTATTGACTTATCTAAGTCAGGTAATATTCAGTTATGCTTAAAGCAACTTCAACTTGAGAAAATGAAGAAATTAGAAATAGCTGAAAAGGTAAAGAAAGGGAGATGGAATTAAAAAGACAGGGAAGGGAAATGAGAAAATTAGAATTAGAATTTAACATTGTCCATGGCTAGAGGTCATGATAACATCATGCTACCTTAGTGAGCCGAAACAACTATCCACGTGTCACAGCAGTGATAAAATGTGAAGTACTGATTTTTGAATCTCATCATCTGATTTTAATACCTGGAACTTTCATGACTGAAATAGTTTTAAAAAGGAAAATACACTGACGTAAAATGGCCACAGCAAATAGCTGACCACGCAGGTTAGCCAAGATTTCATGACAAGAAGATCATATAATCAAATTTACCTGAACTGAAATTAACTTTTTATCAAAAGACATTGAAATAACCTACCCAGTCAGGTATGACAAAATGCTTCTCTCCTATTTTGATTTGTACCTTTATGATAAGTTTCGTACATCGGAGATAAAAGACATTAATTAAAACAATAAACTCCTACAAACCAGCTTATATTTCAAGGAATTTCTTTTGGCAGAGCGGGAAAAATAACATTATGGCTAGAACAAGGTAAAGAAAGTGGTCTGTTGGCCTCTCAAAAAGGCAAAGTGCCTAGTGAGGAACTGATTAAAAAGAATTGTCAGAACACAACAAAAAAGGATGAACATAATATTCAGAACTGCTGATGAGCAAAGACACCAGTTAAACAATTGATATCTCAAGTTGAAATCTTGCACCTCAAGGACATCCTGAGGGCTTTAAACTGTATATTTCATTTATCTTCCTTTGAGATGCTATTTCTTTTTATCTTTGTGCCTATGCCTGATGCTGTGTTTTTATAGCTTTTCCTGCATTAGCAGATAATAAAATTGCCCTTTCACTCAAGAAAACCCTCTAATTGGATCCTTGCTAATACAAAATAGACATTGGATAACTACGTGTTTATTAGAAACCTCATGCTAAAAATAATGTAAAAATTTGTTGTAGCTAGCCAAAGACATTGTACAGAGAGGAGCCAACTCACTGGTGTCAGCTGATTCTAGCAGGTACAGTGGTAAAATCCAATTGTTCAAAGATTGGAGTTCTCCAAAAACAGACACTTTTATAACGTTCCACATATCAATATTGATTGTAAGATGTAGCTGCAAATCTAGTTAGTAGCTTTAAGCGCCGTTTTATGTCACGGTTTGAGTAACCCAATTACCCCGAGTCCTGACATTGTTGGATTTGAGGTATTGTACCTATATGCATTCAGAGTTGAAAGGTATGTTTTATGGAGAGAGATTGCGCAATTTAGACCTATACTTACTTGGGTTTAGAAGAGTGAGAGTAGATCTAATTGAGCAGACATAGAGATGATGTTTCCCTTTGTGGGGCAATCTATAATTAAAGGACATAGCTTTAGGATAAGGGGTAATAAGATTTAAAACAGATGAGGAAGAATTGCTTCTCTCAAAGGGTTGTCAATCTGTGGAATTCACTACCTCAACATGCGAATAAATTTGAGGCGGAGATAGATAGAATTTTAATTCGTTATGGTTAAAGGATTATGGGGAGCAGGCAGAAAGTAGAGTTGAGGCTGAGATGCAATCAGCCATGAGCATATCGAATGGCAGGCTCGATCAGTTTAATTACCTACTCCTGCTCCCATCTCTTATGTGAGATGAATCTATAATGACCCTGATGTTGTTTCATTCATAACAGAAAGAACATCTGTTGACAGAAGAACAGCACATGCGGCATCTATCAAATTTTGCTTCTTCAAGGGGCATTTGCCCAACAAGGAGACCTGCTGCTTCATCCCTCGCCAGGCTTTGATGTTGGAGAGCTGTAGCTTCAACACTTCCTACCCTTTAGTGATGATTATTCATGGATGGACGGTACTCCTGCTTCTTTTACATGTGGTTGTGGAATAGAGTTTATTATTGTCTAGTAATAAACTTGTCTATGGGCAGTATGAGTCATGGATTAAAGGAGATTGCTACCAAACAATGATGTGAAAGCACAAATTGGGATAAGCAGAATTCAGCACAAATCTGGATTAAACTAAAAGTCTCACTCAGAAAGAGCAGGTCCTAGAATGCACAAAGGATCTCAAATCTTCACACCAGAAATAGCCACCAATTTATGTTCTGACCATCAAATAAACATTAACCTATCATTTAAATATTGCTGGAAAAAAGACACATTTTGCCAAAGCTTTCATTTTGCATTCATCAGGACAGTCCACAAGAAATACTGGACTACCCTATCAAATAATTTCTCCTTATATAACATGCAAGCTCACAAAGGGCCAAAGGATTTTGGTTCTGAAAACAACTCAGTCTAAATTAGATTACCCTGGAATGGTATCATATCTCAAAGGTTTTAGCAACAGGGAAGCTAGTTTTTTCATGCTGCCATTAGGCAGTAGCAATGTGAGTACGGTCTGCCATTCACAGAATGCTGCAATCGAGGTGTTCTGTCTATAACAGACACAAAATCACCTATGGTTACAGACTTGTTGTCGTGAGTGATTTTAACTTCCAACATATTGACTGGGACTCACTTAGTGCTTGGGGCTCAGATGGGGCAGAATTTGTAAGGACCATCCAGGAGGGCTTCTTGAAACAGTATGTAGATGGTCCAACTAGGAAAGGGGCCATACTGTACCTAATATTGGGGAATGAGCCTGGCCAGGTGGTTGACATCTCAATAGGGGAGCAGCTCGGTAACAGTGATCACAATTCAGTAAGCTTTAAGGTATTGATGGATAAAGATAGGTGTAGTTGTCAGGTGAAGGTGCTAAATTGGGGGAAGGCTAATTACAACAATATTAGGCAGGAACTGAAGAATGTAGATTGGATGCAGGTGTTTGAGGGCAAATCAACATTTAGTATGTGGGAGGCTTTCAAGTGTAAGTTGCCCAGAACTCAGGACCAGCACGTTCCTTTAAGGATGAAGGATAAGTATGGCAAGTTTAGGGAAGCTTGGATAACGAGAGATATTGTGACCCTAATCAAAAAGAAAAAGGAAGCATTTATCAAGGCTAGAAGGCTGGGAACACACGAAGCAAGGGTGGAATACAAGGAAAGGCGAAAAAAACTTAAGCAAGGAGTCAGGAGGGCTAAAAGGGGGTCATAAAAAGTCATTGGCCAACAGGATTAAGGAAATTCCCAAGGCTTTTTATACATATGTAAAGAGTAAGAGGGTAGCCAGGCAGAGGATTGACACACTCAAGGACAGGGAAGGGAATTTATGAGTGGAACCAGAGGAAATGGGTGAGGTATTAAATGAGTACTTTGCGTCAGTATTCACTATGGAGAAGGACTTGGTGGATGATGAGTCTGGGGAAGGGTATGTAGATGCTGAGATCAAAAGGGAGGAGGTATTGGGGTTCTTGAAAAACATTAAGGTAGACAAGTCCTCAGGGCCTGATGGGTTATACTCCAAATACTGAGAGAGGCAAGGGAGGAAATTGCTGGGAAATTGAGTGAAATCTTTGTATCCTCGTTGGCTACCGGGGAGGTCCCAGAGGATTAGAGAATAGCCGATGTTGTTCCTTTGTTTAAGAAAGGTGGCAAGGATAATCCAGCTAATTACAGGCCAGTGAGCCTTATATCAGTGGTAGGGAAATTATTGGTGAGGATTCTTTGAGACAGGATTTACTCCCACCTGGAAATCAATGGGCGTATTAGCAAGAGGCAACATGGTTTTGTGAGGGAGAGGTCACGCCTCACTAACTTGGTTGAGTGTTTTGAGGAAGTGACAAAGATGATCAATGAGGGTAGGGCAGTGGATGTTGTCTACATGGACTTCAGTAAGGCCTTTGACAAGGTCGCTCATGGCAGGCTGATACAGAAGGTAAAGTCGCATGGAGTCAGAGGTGAGCTTGCAAGATGGATAAAAAAACTGGCTCGGTCATAGAAGACACAGGGTAGCAGTGGAAGGGTGCGTTTCTGAATGGAGGGCTGTGACTAGTGGTGTTCCTCAGGAATCAGTATTGGGACCTTTGCTGTTTGTAATATATATAAATGATTTGGAGGAGAATGTAGCTGGTCTGATTAGTAAGTTTGCTGATGACACAAAGGTTGGTGGAATTGTGGATAGTGATGAGGATCGTCAAAGGATACAGCAGAATGTAGATCGGTTGGTGACTTGGGCAGAAAGATGGCAGATGGAGTTTAATCCAGAAAAATGTGAGGTAATGCATTTTGGAAGGTCTAATCCCGATGGAAAATATACAGTAAATGGCAGAACTCTTAAGAGTACTGATAAGCAGAGGGATCTGGGTGTACAGGTACAAAGGTCACTGAAAGTGGAAACGCAGGTGGAAAACAAGGCAACAAGGCATATGGCACGCTTGCCTTCATCAGCCGGGGCATTGAGTTTAAAAATTGGCAGGTAATGTTGCAGCTTTATAAAATCTTAGTTAGGTCGCATTTGGAATATTGTGTTCAATTCTGGTCGCCACACTACCAAAAGGATGTGGTGGCTTTGGAGAGGGTACAGAAAAGATTTACCTGGATGTTGTCTGGTATGGAGGGCATTAGCTATGAGGAGAGGTTGCCGAAACTTGGGTGGTTCTCACTGGAACGACGGAGGTCTGATAGAGGTACTGAACAGTCAGAAGCTTTTTCCCAGGATGGAAGAGTCATTTACCAAGGACCATGGGTTTTTAGGTGCGAGGGGCAAGGTTTAAAGGTGATGTACGAGGCCAGTTTTTTACACAGAGGGTGGTGGGTGCCTGGAACTCGCTGCTGGGGGAGGTAGTGGAAGCAGATACTATAGTGACTTCTAAAGGGTGTCTTGACAAATATATGAATAGGATGGGAATAGAGGGATACGGTCCACGGAAGGGTAGGAGGTTTTAGTTGTGATAGGCAGCATGCCAGAGCAGGCTTGGAGGGCCAAAGGGCCTGCTTCTGTACTGTAATTTTCTTTGTTCTTTGTTATTTGAAATATGTTTTATGAATTTCAGTGCCAGTGTGATGCCAGGCATGTAGGCCGTATGTCCCAAATACTAGCAGATTGTATCAAACAGCATATTCCTTTGGCTGTTAGCAGCCCCAGGCAAAGTACTGACCATACCTAACCAACCTGTGCTTGCAACGCGCAAAATACAGTTTCAATATTGGATGAGATTCTGTGATTGAATAACATTTGCTAAATAAGCCTGTGTATGTGAACAATTACACTGACAACAAATTTAGGGATGTAATTCGGCGCCATAATGTGATGCATTTGCATAGACAGGATTTAACAAATATTACTAAACAGGGCCCTGTTACTTGCAGACATAAAAGGATATGTACACATTCTGCAGCTATGATGCATGGGGATAGAATCACCTCCAGGTTTTTCTCCAAGTCACACACCATTCTGACTACTGCTGTTCCTTCGCTGTTATGTCAATATTCCTAACAGCACTGAGGGTGTATCTACACCCCAAACTGTGTAGCAGTTCAGGAAGGAACCTCATCTCTACTTTCTCAAGGGCAATTGGAGATGGGAAAAAATGTTGATCCAGCCAGCAACACCCACCTCCCATGAACAAATTAAAAGAAAATCTGCAAATAGCAAGTACAGATTAATGTTTTAGACATTATCCCCTAACTTGTGATATAATTAATATGACATTTTGTGAAGGAAGTTACAGATTTTTCTTTGTGCTCTAAATCTTGCAGGTTGATGGAATGTATGAAAATTGGATCTGGGAGATGGCAGCTGCACTGAAAGCCAGACTAAAGGACATGAATGTGATTGTGGTTGATTGGTTGACACTAGCACATCAACATTACCCAATAGCGGTAAAGAACACACGGACAGTTGGTCATGAGATTGCAAATTTATTGGACTGGTTGGAGGTAAATCTATAAAATTAAGGTCTTCTAATAGATTTTGCCACCGTTATCTTTGATGTGATAATACCCTTAGCTCAAGGAAATATGTAAGAGCTTCATTGCATGGTTGATCGAATTGTATGAAACAGAACAATTGGATGGATTTCTATTTACTAATAACATCAAGGGATCTGGGAATGGTGTAGAAATGTAGTGCTGAGATGGATTATCAGCCATGATCTAGAATGGTGCATCTAGGATGGTCTGCTCTTGCTCCTATCTCCCATTTTTCTTAAATTCAATACATTAAATATTGTCCAACTAAAGACAAGCAAAAAGCAGCCACTCATTTCCAAAAATACTTAGATTTTCACAGGCTGGAGAATGAAAGACTCAAGTGAAATACACTCAGCCTTAGTCAGGTTAATGAATCCAATTACGGGTTATTGTGAATTTTTTATTTTTGATGCTCCCTATCAGTTCAGAGGCACCAATATCACCCTGACTGTAGACAATATCAGCAGGGGGCTCTTCAACAGTCAATAAAGGATTAAGGAAAGGATTGACTTTCAAATGTTAATGAATCTACAGGCCAAGGGGTTTCTAATGAGATTGAAATATCTGGTCAATACAAATTATTGAAACATATTCACTAATGCAGAGAAAATGGATTGATAAAAAGACTAATTTATGAGATTTGAAAACTCTCTCACACCTTTAAAGAGAAGTGAACATTTTCTAGTGCTCTCAAATTGTTTGTCTTCTCAAAGTGTTTGTTCTTCTCAACTTTCTTCTCCTCCTCCTTCAGCAGGCCTTCTGAAATGCCTTTCAATTAATTTCATCTTCCATGCATTTACTTTAATATTATATTATTATTTTCATGTAATTCCTTCTGTCCATTTCTTTTTTAACCTTGCGATTTGCTTTATTTTATTATTTTTCTGACTGTGAATTGTAACTTCAGCTTTTCCTTATTCGTTTTTGTCCTTTTCACCGTGTGCTCTAGTTTTTTTGTCCCCATCACACCGTATCTCTATATTTCCTACATTTAAAAGAGATTACACTTTGGAACTGTTTCCTTGGCTGTAAGGTGCTTTGGGATTTCCTCACATTAGGACCATTTCTAATGGCATTGTCCAGTAAGAGCAACTATAGAACCTCATCTCAGTCTGATGCAGGTCTCTCCTATTGTGAAGCAAATTGTGGACAAATGTGAACTGCAAGACGAAGAACCAAAATAAAATATATGAAGCAATTATCAAGAACCAAACCACAGCCATTTGTCTGACAGAAGATTTGACAGGCTGGATGCTAAAAAGAGGTTTCTCTTTGAGATTAGAACTAGGGAACACAGTTTGAAAACATTATCTTGCGTTTAAGATGGGGATGAGGAGAAATGTTTATTCGTAAAAGATCATGAGTCTGTGGAACATTTTCCCCCCACCCCGGAATGTGATGGAGGCAGGATCATTGAATAATTATACAGGAGAGGTAGGGAAAATTCTTGGCTAACAAGGCAGTCAAAGAGTAATGGGGCTTGCAGAAATGTGGAGTTAAAGTTACCATCAGATCAACCATGGTCTTGTCAAAAAGCAGAGCAGGATCAAGGGTGGAATGGTCCTTTCTTGTTCCTAATTTCCATGTTCATGTATACATGTGGCTACATGAGCCTTTGTTAAGGAATGTTCTCCCAGTATGAATAAATTTCCATTGTAAAAGATCAGGTAGGAATTCTTATTTAAACCAGGAAAACAAAGCTGGGCAGTGGGAACAAATCTTTAAAATGCCTAGAAAGGACCTCTGCTTTTCTTTTTGTAACTTGGTTTAAAATTGTAAGTTATATAATTCCCTTTTGTTTAGATATTCATGGGTGATTCGGGTGAGGATGAGAAAATATTGTAGCTGTAAGAAAAGTTGCTTTTTTTTGGAGCTGATTACCTTGAATTCATGGAGCAGTAATTACTCTTTTAAAAGCTGCTGAATTGTTTTGGAACTTTGTGAAAAAGAGATCAAAACAATGCCACTTTAGAAAAGGAGGAAAAGAGAGAAAGCAGGGACCACATGGAAAGTGAAAAAAACAGAGCAGTAAATCTGCACAACTGTCTGACCAGGCAGTGAACGTTCACAGCTGAATACCTCTGCTGTTTAGTTTCAAGTATCTCCGGACATTGGAGTTAGTTCTAAGAAAAATAAACTAAAGTGAAATTCACAGTTGACCTTGGAGAAACCTGTGTGAGAAGCTCACAGCAGGGGTACAGCTAAGTGGCTTTTTTTTATAAAAGATGTAACCTTACTGTTTTGTTTTGTAAATCTACAATAGTGAGATTTTTTTGATCATATGTTTTATTGAAATCTGTCTCTTGATTAAACTTTTAAAATATGAACGTATGTATTAAGTTATCCTAGAGTAGAATTTTTTGAACAGTAAAACTATGCTATTTGCTGGGTCTGTAGATTGTTAAGATGCAAAGATGGCCTTTAATAGAGTGATGTGCTCTTCCTGTCGAATGTGGGAGATTAGGGAGCATTACCATGTTACTGATGATTATATCTGCAGGAAATGTTTCGTTGTGAATCCTGTCAGATTACATGGACCAGTTGGAGGCAATAAGAAATTTACAGGAGCTAGGGGGTGTGATGAATGGCAGTTGCAAGAAGGTGGAAAAGCTGCAGATACAGTCGGGTAGATGAGTTACCTTCAGGAGAGGTAGGCAGGTAGTGCAGGAGTTTCCTGTGGCTATCTCCATCTCAAACATGAATGCTGTTTTGGGAAATGTGGGAGGTGATGGACTCTCAGGGGAATGTAGTACTGACAGCCAGGTTTCTGGTACCAAGTGATTTGGAGACAGTTAGGACTGCAGATGCTAGAAGCCACAGTCAATAGATGTGAAGCTGGAAAAGCACAGCAGGTCAGACAGTATCCAAGGAGCAGGAAAGTCAATGTTTTAGCCCAAAATGTAGACTTTTTTGCTCCTCAGATGCTGTCTGACGTGCTGTGCTTTTCTGGTACCAAGGCCGGCTCTTATTTAACGAGGGGTACATGAAGTTCCAAGCGATCAATTGTGATAGGGGACTGTCTAGTCAGAGGCATAGACGTTTCTGCAGCCAACAATGAGACATCAGAATGGTGTGTTGTTCCCTGGTGCCAGGACCAAGGATCTCTCAGAGACAATACAGAATATTCTCAAAGGGGAGAGGGACTAGCTGGAGTTTGTTGTATATATTGGAACTAACAATATAGGAAGAGAATAGGACGAGATTCTGAGGAGAGAATACAGGAAATCAGGCAGGAATTCAAAAAGGAGGTCCTTGAGGATAGTAATATCTGGATTACTCCCAGTGCCATGAGCTAGTGAGAGTAGGAATAGGAGGATGAGCTGATGAATGCGTGGCTGAGGAGCTGGTGCAGGGGAGAAGGATTCACATGTTTGGATCATTGGAATCTCTTCTGGGATAGAATTGACCTGGATAAGTAGGACGAATTGCACCTGAATTTGAAGGGGACTAATATACGGCTGGGGAGCTTTGCTAGTGCTGCTCGGGAGGATGTAAACTAGTGGGTGGGGGGAGACACAGGGAGATAGTGAGAAAAGAGATCAGTCTGAGACTAACCCTAACCCTAACTCTATCGCAGGTGCAGTTGGGAAAAGGAGCAAGTCAAACAGTCAAGGCAGGCAGAAACAAAGCAGAGAACGAGGTAGAACTGATAAATTAAACTGCATTTATTTAAATGTAAAAAGCCTAACGGGTAAGGCAGATGAAATCAGGGCATGGTTGAGAACATGGGACTGGGATATTATAGCCATTACAGAGACATGGCTCAGAGATAGACAGGACCGGCAGCTTAATGTTCCAGGGTTTAGATGCTATAGGAAGGATAGAAAGGGGGACAAGAAAGGAGGGGGTGTGGCATATTTGATTAGGAATAACTTTACAGCTGTACTTAAGGAGGAAATTCCTGGGAGTACATCCAGGGAAGTTATTTGGGTGGAACTGAGAAATAAAAATAGGATGATCCCCTGATTGGGATTGTACTATAAATCCCCAATAGTCAGCAGGAAATTGAGAAGCAAATTTGTAAGGAGATCTCAGGTACCTGTAAGAATAATAGGGTGGTAATGGTAGGGGATTTTAACTTTCCAAACATAGACTGGGACTGCCAAGGCGTTAAGGACTTGGATAGAGACAAATTTAAATGTGTATAAGAAAATTTTCTAATTCAGTATGTGGATGTACCTACTAGATAAGGAGCAAAACTTGACCTACTGTTGGGAATAAGGCAGGACAGGTGACTGGGGGATCCACGTTAGGGCCAGTGATCATAATTCTATTAGTTTTAAAATAGTGATGGCAAAGGATAGACCGGATCTAAAAGTTAAAGTTATAAACTGGAAGAAGGCTAATTTTGATGGTTTTAGGCAAGAACTTTCAAAAGTTGATTGGCGTTGGATATTTGCAGATAAAGGCATTGCTGGAAAATGGGAAGCATTCAAAAATGAGATAACGAGAGTCCAGAGACAGTATGTTCCTGTTAGGTAAAGGATGGTAGGTGTAGGGAATGCTGGATGACTAGAGAAATTGAGGTTTTGGTCAAGACAAAGAAGGAAACATATGTCAGGTATAGACAGCAGGGATCAACTGAATCCCTGGAAGAGTATAAAGGTAGTTGGGGTATACTTAAGGGGAAATCAGGATGGCAAAAAGGCGACATGAGAGAGTTTTGGCAGATAAAGTTAGGGAGAATCCAAAGGAATTCTACAAATACATTATGGACAAAAGAGTAAGCAGGGAGAGAATAATCCCCTTTAAAGATCAGTAAGGCCGCCAATGTGTGGAACCGCAGAAGCTGTGGGATATACTAAACAAGTATTTTGCGTCATTGTTTATTGTGGAGAAGGATATAGAAGCTAGAGAGGTCAGTGAAATAAATAACGGCATCTTGAAAAATGTTCATATTGCAGAAAAGGAGGTGCTGGATGTCTTAAAATACATAAGGCTGGATAAATCCCTGGGACCTGATCAGT